GGATGTTTTGGACACTGGCTGTGCCCATACACATCTCTGGGAATCTGTGTTTTAACGTTCGTACCAAGAAATCAGTTTTCCAGGTGTCACGGGGTTAGACAAATACCTGATAAAGAACTAAACCTGTCAAATAAATTTACTTTGCAAAAAGACCGAGCCCTGCAGAAGTCTCTGTTGTGTACTTAAAAAAATACCTTACGCCTTCACAAACAGACAGCCCAGGACACTGCATTCCTGTGCGCTCCCAAGCCAGCAGCAGCAGAAGTGGCAGCAGAACAGTGTGCATGGAGCTGCTGTGTCACTGTGCAGCCCTGCAGCAGAGCCCCTCTCCTCCTCCTCCAGCCAGCAGCTGAGTGAGTGACAGCTCTTGCATGCTGCTTTGCCTTATAGTTAACACAGGTGAGGCTACGGCAGACTCTGGGTTGGAAGGACATTGTCAGAAGCTCAGCTGGATGCTCAAACACTGGCTGAGCATAGGGCTGCATTTTTGAACTGAAGTCTAGCTGTGGAAATAGCCTGGAAGGGGCTTTCTGGAAGTGTCCAGCCTGCTCTGCCCCTGGCACGTCCCCTGCTGTGCTCAGAAAATAGCCCAAACAGCATCACTGCATTAGGGCTTCTGCAGGGGTGAATGGTTTCCTTCTGCAGGCAGTTGTTGCCTGCCACTACCCAGGGCATTGCCTTGAAAACTAACAATGCACCTTTTTGATGCAGCGTTATTTGCATCTCTTTGTTGACTTTGCTAATCAAGCTCACTTCTAAGTCTTTGAAAACAGGGCTAATCAAAGGCACAGGGCTCCTTGGACACGGCAGCCACTTCAGGCGAGGTAACCCCTTGGGGACCAGGCACTTTCGGTCGCTGGGCTGTTAAGGGCTCCATTGGGAGCTGGAGGCTGTGCTGAGCATCCAAGGTTAAGGAGGCAGGTGACTGCCATCCCTCTGCACCAGCTGAGCTGAGGCAGTGCCACACGGCCACCAATAGGGCAAGGCTTTGCTGTCTGGCCTTTCCCCTTTGCCATGTGTCCATGGTTGGGCACCTGGCTCTGCCAGGTCTGTGACGGTCATCAGTTCATGGGGGAGCAGGGAGATCACCGCCCCCAGCAGCATGAGGGCTACTGCACCCATCACCGCATTGCCTTGCTGAGCTGGCCCTATAGTGAGGGGCTCCAAATTCTCCATGCTAGTGTAAAACCATCCCGTGACTCAGAACTGAGTCCAACGCTGAGTCCTCACTCTGCACAGCTCCCCACTCCATGCTTTGTTCTGCATTTCCCACAAAGGAGCATGATTTTTTCAGTCTGTGCAAGACTAGCCAGTGTGCGTATCTAAACCCTCTTCAGCTCCCCGTTGCAGTCATAGTTTTCATTCCTTTCTGGCTCTTTCAATAGTCTGTAGGGGAGAGCTAAGCTAAGTCCAATTCAGAAAGGGGATTTTTTTTTTTTAACTGTTTTTTGTAGACTGGTACATCACAAATACACTTAAATCAATATTTCCCCTAAGATGCGATAGTAAGATATCCCATTTCCAACTGCTGGGCTTATTCCAATGGTGTGCTCTGTCACTGGTTGCCCAGCACAGTGGCAGCCCCTCTCTGTCATTCACGGTGGTGCCTTGAGAGCAGCCAGGCCAGGCTGTCCATGCAGAACCCGTCCAGCACATGCTCTCAATTTGCATACTGTATTTGCCAAGAGTTATTAGTGTTGATCGGTGGTTAAATAATCTGCCCTTTCCATTTCAGGAGGCCTGTCAGGACTCACCTTTGCATAGGCTTTACTTAAATGGGAGCTTTGTGACACACTGGAAAAGGATTTTCATTAGGGAGCCTTCTCCTTGTTATTGAAACAGCTACAAATACAAAGTACCGTCTCTGACATCACAAGTGTCTGCCGTGCATGTTGACATCTCTACATCCTTTGCACACTGAAATGGCTGCAGCCCACAGAGCAGCAGAGGCCAGGCTGCAGCCCTGTACGGGACATGGTGCTAAGGACAGATCCCACATCCTGCCTAGGGAGGTGGTAGAGTCACCGTCCCTGGAGGTGTTCAAGAACCATGTGGATGTGGCACTGAGGGACATGGGCTGTGGGCATGGTAGGGATGGGTTGGTGGTTGGACTAGATGATCTTAGTGGTCTTTTCCAACCTTAATGATTCTAAATAAAGTTATCTTCTGATAAAGAAGGGATCATCCTTGCAGGAGGGATGGCTGTGACTCACACAGAAACAGTAGGAACAGCAGGAAGGGGTCAGAACCACATTCAGTTTCATGGTTAGGCAACACCTTTGGAAACTGGAGCCAGGAAAAAATAACTTGAGGGCTGAGAGGAGCATTGCAACGACCAGCTGCTTCCTGCACAGGCAATTATGCCCAGTGCCTTGAACATTGCTAAAAGAGCCAGAAAGGAATGAAAAGTACGGATGCAGCAGGGAACTGAAGAAGGGCTTGATATGCAAGCCAGCTAGTCTTGAACAGCCTGATGGAAAAAAAAAAAATCATGCTGCTTCATGGGAAATGACCTTCACTGTCAGAAGCAAGGGAACTGAGATGCACTCTGGAGGGACACCCTTCATCCCCTCTTCCTCCTGCCTACAGGTTTTGAGCAGCTGCTGAACTATGGGAGCTTTTCCCACACTTCCTTGGGCATGGGATGAGGCATGCTGTTACCACTAGCCCCAGAATCCCCACAGATGCAAGAAGTTCGAATGGATTAATTGATTTGTGCAATAGGTTTTCCTGCTCAGTTATTGGCAGGTTTGCTAATGGATCGCTATTTAAGTGATTCTGATATTTTAAATTACATCTTATTTCATAGATGCACATTTATTTTAAAAAAGAGCACCCTTTGCATCTATTAACATATTAAGGAGAAAATAAAACATCCAGGTTGATATAATGTACAATGTGGCATTACTCTGGGTGCTTCCTAAGCTAGGGAAATCTTATTTGTTTAATAATAAGTTAGTCATGAATATGCAAATCTGCTTCAGTGCAGTACCTCACTGCTGTCACTATTAATGAGCTGCAAATTAATGTGACAACAAAAGGAAAATCTATTTAGTGGCAGAATTGCACTTCATACCTGGCTCAAGAGAGCAACCAGCCACCGGCACTTCGGTCTGCTGGAGCAAATTGTGCACACAGTGTGGAGGTTTCTTTCTGGGCTGGCAAGCCACAAGTAACCACAGTGCCTTCACCCCAGCCCTAAGGCAGAAGGCAGCATTGCTGGCAGTGCTTCAGCACACACCTCGCCTGCAGGAGGGTGCGATGTGCAAGCAAGGTGAAATGAGTGCAAAGCACTCTAAGAGGTGAAATGCGTAATTAGCAAGACCTGGGTGGGACACTTAGATTGCTTGAAAGAGCCCCATCTTCACATATGTTTGGGGATTTTTTCACCTACAAGTTCACAGAGTTAGATTTGTTGGATTCCAGTCCTTTTCTTCTGAACCTCCTCTTGGCAGAAATGCAGTGGTGACTGAGAAAGGAACTAATATGCCTCTTCATGACTGTGACATTCAGCTCACGCTTTGTGTAGTGGTGCCAAGCCTGCTCCTACCAACACAAGACCCACAAAGAGCTGCAAATGCTATGCACTGCAAGCAATGCTGAACGGATGTGCTATTTTTCGGTTAGTTTCTGTGCAAGTTTAAAGCAGCAATGTGGGCTTTTTTTCCTGCGTGAACTGAGTAACAAACCCGAATGTCTAACAGCAGTCCTGCACGCAGAGCTGGGGATTGGCAGCTGCCTGTGTTTGCTGCTCCCTGACACCTTGTTCCCTTTATGCACAAGCCATGGGTCCCATCTATGGGGCTGGCATTTAGCACAGAAACGAAGGGAGAAGCCAGCTTCAAGCTGTTTCTAGGGGTGAGTCTGGCTGCTGGGAGCAGATCTGGTATTATTTCCATTCTGCTCCCGTCACCCCACAAACCAGAGGGCACACTGAGCTTCCAATGGGTGCCTGGGCTCAGCCTTTGAGGGATTGCTCCACAGGGAGAGTTATGTGGGATATTTAGCCCAAAGGGGATGCTCCCCAGCAGAGCCCAATCCTCTGGGTGAGGCAAAGAGGAGGAGTTCATACCAAGGCGCGTGGACCGAGGGAAGCCTTTCCGCAAGGCCCTCAGGCCTGGCTAGTCTGCTTTCCCAGGTACGCCGCCATTACGAAGAAGCACACCCCAAGGATAAAGTGGTCACTTTACATCGAGGGACTTCACTGCGGTCAGATGTCCCTGCCGCTACCCTATTTTTAGCGTGCAGGCGTGCCTGCATGACAGCAGCGTGCGGCTGTTACTGCATTTGAGCACAGGGCCCAGTGCCAGCATGGAGGTGGCCCAACTGTACTGGGCATGGAGAGCACACAGGGCTGACTGAGGGGAGATGCTCAGGAGGACATCTCAGGATCCGGAGCTGGCCAAAATACACAATGTACCCGTACCCTATTAGCCTGCAGGGCAGGGGGGAGAAGAGGGGCCTGCCACGTCGCCCTGAAGCACTGCAGGGCCTGTTCAAGCCCTGCGAGCCCCACTTTTTCGCTGCCAATTCCTGAGCTATATGACAGCGAGCTTCTGTTCCCTGAAAAATTCTCCCTTTGGTTAGCCCAAAGTGTGCTCGCAGCCTCAGCGCTTTGTATTAAAACTAAATGATTTACCCTAGTACTATTTTCCTCCCCTCTGCAGACACCACTGAAAAGAAAATTCAGTCAATTCAACTTAAAAAGATGACAAAGGAGGAAAAATAATTGAACCTATTCACAATTCTTCAACTAAAAGGCAATGCCGAAAGTATTGTGAATGCTGCTTTTAAGCCTCTGTCCCATAAAGGGCTCCCAATGTTTTCTCGTAACCTTGAATTTAGAAAGTCAATGTAGATTCTACCTCCGATTTCACGAACCGCTCTCGAGCACCTGTGCCAGCTCAGCTCTGCTCTGCAGGAAATGCACGTAGAGCCTCTTTTCATAAACATTATTAAGTCAGAGCTCGTTTCACAATCATGCACAGAATTAATGGGAGTCATGTTAGCATCTTCATTTCTCAACAGTTTTATTGCCTTTAAGAAAATTTTTGTAAAATATAAATACAAAGGCAGGAGATTTACTTACAAAGTTAAAACACAGATCTCAAACATAAACACACAATTCAGAAAATTTAGTTTATGTACAGTTTTCAAGCAACTTCAACATATGTTAGTTTTTCAATATTTTACAAGGTACAGAAAAAATAGTTCAAAGTCTTCTTTAAATAAAGAGCATAAAATGTTTAAACATATATAAACAATCCGGTTTGATGTGTGAAAACTAAATTTCACAGCTTTTAAATTAGGATATAAAAGTTCTTACAATTAGTTGATGCGTATGGATATGGTTTAATTTATATTACAAACTATTGAATTATATTCAATAGTGCTTACCTGGCCAAAGCAGGTAATTCTGTAAACAAAAAAACAAAAATAATATCACCAAGTGCCTTACCGAATCCTATCTCCCAAACAAGCCACATGACTTTGATCACATCACCTATAAAAAGTATGTTCTGTGTAATCAGTGCTTTGTATGAAACAAAGTCAGTGTGTGGGTGTGTTCTCTAAAAAAAAAAAATGTTCCAAGTAATAACAAACTTATCCCAAAGCCTGTGTGCATTTAAAGAAACATTATATAACAATTTTGTAAAAACTGACTGAAGTTAAAAAAAAATTCTTCCAAAATCCATCCAACTGGAATTCAGATCTCTTATATAAAGGAAAGATATTTTCATATTTAATAGTGTCCTTTCTTTACAGAAACAATTGCATTTGAACACATATACATAAAGAAGTAATTGTATATAGCACTGTACATTAAACGGCCTGTTGGTTCACCAAAGGATGTCGAAGGGAGGGTCCTCATGTGGATGCAACCAATGAAGCGAGGAGCCCAGCAAAGTCTTGAGTTCGCTTGTAAACTCTACCAAGTCCAACAGCTCTTTGCTTTCTGGGTTAAACGCTTCAAGGTCCGTAGCACAAGCGAACAACTGGCTGAGAGAAGTCTGTTTGTAAAACTCTGCCTCTGTGATGGTGACGACTTCCAGATTGGGGAAGTTGCAGCGGAAGATGCGAGACGACATTTTTAGCCTCTTTACCACGTCTGAGAGCAAGAGCCAGTTTCGCGGTCTGTGGAGGCAAAGGAAAAAAACGTTCCAGCAACTGACACGAAGCTATTCAACCCTCCACCGCTCCACCGCTGTGTGACTGAGCCTGCCCTCCCCACACAAACAAACCACCCCCTCCAAGCCAAGAGCTTTGCCCTGGGGCTCACACACCGTGGATGCAGGTGCTGGAGCCTGCAAACCTGAGGCTTGTGAGCACGTGTGCCAGCAGTCGTACCAACGTCTCAAACTTTCACCAGTCTGAGCCTGGCAGCAAGTCAGGGGATGGCCAACAGTTACAACGTGAGTTTCAGCATCTCTGGCTTCCAGAGATGCTGATACTGAATACAAGCCATTGGAGGGCTATTTTTCAGGTTCAGAAGACAATAATTTAATCTTCCTACTTTTCTGCTCAGAAAACTTGAGTTACATCAATCACCAAAGTAATGAGAACATGCTAAAACCTGCCCTCCTTCTTGATTAGTATTTAGAACTACTTTTCCCACAGCTGTCATTAAAATGATTCAAATGACAAATGGTAGCTGTTTACTAAGCTAATTTATATCTTGACTATAACAGAGAATAAAACTTCTCAGGTCTTTGCTTATTATTATTAGCATAGTATCTTCTGTAACGTGTTTGACTTCATTCAGAGTTTAAACAAGTTCTGTTGCAGCACCTAGAACAGCAGTAGCACTGTCGTGTTTTGACGATCCCGAAAGTATGTCTGCTCAGCAAAGCAGAATTTATTCATTACATAAAATTAAGAACACTTTACAGACATCAATGCCAATTTAAAGCACTAGAAATGCTTGCATTTGGGGATGTTATACCAGGTGTCTGGCTGGAATGAGGGGAGGAATTTGTGTTCAAATGTCATTCACTCTGCTATGCAGCAGAGATGAGTTGCTGCCATCCCAAGCCCAAAACCTGTATGTGTTCTTACCCCTGAGAGAGACACACTTGTATGTTGTAACATGGCAAGGGAGGCTCATCTGAAAATTCAAACTCAAACACATCGCTAAAGCCATCTTCATCTTCCTCACCCGGGCCAGGGGGGTTTGCCAAGACATCAAATCCAGATTCATCCTTCGGATCTAAATAAAATTGAATAAAGAGACCAAGTCAACATTTAAGAGACCACTACAGGTCTTGCTTCCCTTCCAATAATATGATCTGTAAAAAAAATTGGTTTGCTTTCTTCCTAACTTCCTCTGCCACAAAAACAAACCAGCCTCCACCCTCACCTGCTGCATGCTTTGGAAGTCTCCACATACAAAGAGATAAAGGGTAACATTTGCTTACCACATACAGAGCTTCCATAGAAGTCCCAGTACAAACCAGGGTCATCACCATTTCGACCTTGCAGGTCAGTTAAATACTCTGGAGAGGAAAAAACAACAACAAAAACATACTGATGAGAACAAAAAGCTGGCAAGTTTAGCAAACCGTGTGTCATACAGAGTCCCACCATGCATACTTCAAGCCTTCCACCAGAAACACAGCATATTCCTGATGCACACCCTATGGAAGACATCATGGACATGCCATCCTCAAAACACGCCCGGAATTTGCTTCTCCCTGCGTCCCTTCTCCCATCACATGAAACGATGACCACATATAACCACATGACATCACATAACCACCCTGGGTCTGACAGAGATGGACCTGACCTCAAACTGTAGTAGCTAATAATGACCTTTTATTTCTGTGAAATGTGGGATTTGCCATGCTTTTTGGCCTGCAGTTACTCTGGACATCGATTTGGGGGTGAAGCAGTGGCCACAAAGAAACTGATGAAAAGATTTTTCCCTACAACTATGTTTAGGAGATCAAAGTGTGCTACACAGCTGTAACTTGTGAGATTTGAACACTGAGTTGGTGAAAAAACACTGGGATTCAAGACACCAGGAAGTCTACAGTACTGGTGTCCTGACACACCTATGTGTTCTCTGTGCTGGTACATGGGTAAGTGCTTAAACTGATTGACTGTGAGTACTGGAAACTTCCAGAGGTGAGGTTAGTAGGGAAAACAAGTGTCTTTAATCAAAACGAATGGGAAAACTCTAAAAGTATGTTACAACATGGACACATGTTTGAAGAGAAGAATGTAGGCATAATTTTATGAGATACAGAATGAAGCAGAACTTGCAAAAAATAATACATGGGGAAAAAAGAAAGACCATGGGAAACTTGGCTGTGCTTTTGTACACAGAGGGAAGCTCTGCAAGTCCCCTACCAGGAAGCAAGGAGTAGGACTTTTTGGGGCTGAAACATCACCCCATGGCCATCTGCACCCAGGAGCCACCCACCTGTGAGGAAGGTCTCCATCAGCTCACTGTGGGTCATCTTCACAATGGTCCTCCCCGAGTACGTCGCAAGCGTTGGGTCAGCACCGTAAGACAGTAACAGGCGGACAATTTCTAAGTGATCATTTTCTACTGCATCATGGATAGGTCTGGGGAGAAGGGAAAAAAAGAGATCGCGGCGTTACACTTTGACTCAAGAATTATGTAAATGTATTTGAAAAGAAACTCCTGACTTCAGACCAAAGTTATTTATAGCGAATAACACTATTAATACAGCTGTCAATCGTCTCATTGTCAGTTTCACTCGCACAGCGCTCCTTCCCCTCTCAGTTTTTCACAGTCACACTGCTCGGGGCAGGCATTTCTGTTGCAGCTATTCATGGCCTTCCGCGTTTTGAGGGCCGGTACAATAATTACAGCCCTGTAACAGAAAGCAGGAGTTTGCACGATGCCTCACAAACATCGTTTCGCTGCAAGTCGCTCTGCCGCTCCAAATCTCTGCCCATTTAGCAGCGTGTTGCGCAGCACAGGCCCATTCAGCCTGCCTTTAAAATTTATTATACGTAACGGGGAGCAGTCTGGAAGCAGAACCTATCGCCCCCTGACTAATGAAGACGTGCTAAATCCCATCATTTCCCAGGACAGCAAAGAGCAGGGAACGGAACACAGCCAAGCCCAGGGGCGAACAGCCACAGCAACTGCGCTCCTCTCCCTCCCCTCAGGCTGCTGAGCAGAAACGCGGCTGCCCCTGCCAGATCACAAGTCTAGAGAGAGAAGGACGGCTGCAGCCAGCACCGCGTGCTGCCTGCCTGCAAAACTCGCCAAGCCGCATCACAAGGAAACCTCATCTGGAAGTGGAGCAAGAAAAGCCCTGGGCCCTGTGTGCCAAGTGGTGCTGGCTGCTCACCAGGGCCGAGCCCCCCACCACACGCAGCAGCATCCCTGCTATGTGAGGACTGCACTGGCGTGGGCAGGTGGCCAGGGAGTGAGTTGGGATTGGTGGCTATGCAAAACAGTGAGGGGCCGGGGCGCAGAAGGGGACAGCCGCTGCCTTCACATCTATTGCAGAGTGGGGCTGGTGGCAGGGAGCTTTGAGATGCAGCATCTCACGAAGAAATACATTCCAGGTGTGCTTATTCCAAGTGCCTTCCAGTAGGCTGTGATGTAGGATGATTAACACTGGGGACATGAAGCACTCACACTTGCTCCCATCTCACTGGAAAGCTGTGCACAGTTCTGCTGTTAACATGCACACGCTACGCAGACATTAAGAGGCAAATACAGAGAGTGTGGAGCTCATTCCCTGCAGAGGGAGGGCTCACTCCATGCCAAGGGTCAGAGCACCCCTCATCAATCTCTCCAACATTGCACTGAAACAATACGCCCTGAGAAAGATGGTGCCACACTGCCTTGCAGCCCAGGCAGCCTCCCCTCAACACTCAGTGCATGTGCAGCAGCAACACTCACCCACACCAAAACACTACCATGCCCATGGGCACAGAGCATCTCATGCCAAAAACCTGGCAGGGCACAGGAAAGGTGCACACAATGTTCCAACACTGAGTACATTTCTATCCCCTAATCACTCATGTTACTGCAGTTTTTAATGGTGAACTGTTTTCCATTTTATTTCAGAATTAGGATTTTCTGGTTTCATTCGGAGTGGGGGAAGGACTGTGGGTTTATTGGTTTGTGGGTTTTCTTGTTTGTTGTCATTTTCTTTTTTTTTTTTTTAACTGACTTACCTAAGTGGCTTTAGAAGCGGTAACGAATTCAAGACGATTGCTTAACTTATTAAAAACAGCACCTCAATTGCTGCCCGGTGTTTCCATCGATTTAACACCCGGCCAAGTTTATTAAAGAAGAAAACCCCAGGAGGGAGCCTCTCGCCCCTCTGTACAGCTGAGCAGGGTGCTGCAACCGGGCAGCAGTAGGGCAGGCAGTGGGATGGAGCAGCTCCATCTCTGCCGCCCACAGAGCACCCTGGCACGACCTGCATTTTATGAAGGCTATGAGAAGGAAAGGTGCAGCAAGGTTGTGCAGAAGGAGGAAGAACGATAAATAGAAGGAAGCAAAGGAAGGAAAGAAAATGTTGGCAGGGAGAAAAACGGGAGAGATTCACGCAGATAAAGCAGTAATGGGGCACTGACAGGATCCTTTATTGCTAGAACAGCTTTTTGGCAGGCTCACCGGTGGGATCGTGTGAAGGATACCCACATCTGCTTCTCCCACCAGGGCAGGCAAAGGAAGGAATGTTTCTCTATCTTGACGGGGCGTACCACCCTATTCGTAAGTGGCAGAAGTGAGTGCTGGAGCTAGCAACTTTCTGACATGAGAAAAAGATCCCTGTGAGTCCTCTCCTGCCCTCTTTTGCCCATATAATCTTTTCTGCCCTGAGCACTGATGAAATAAACACTCTCTACCCCTAATAGTACCATTAACAGCAGTACAGTTTGTTTTTAAAACATACCCTTCAAAAAGGCCCCAGAAGGGTCTGGGGACATTCAAGAGCAGTGACATCCTACAGCAGACGCGCATCTCAGCCACTCTGATGTACCATCCAACCCTTACTACTATTTTTACTGCTCGAGTCAAGAAAACATTTCATTGGGGGTTTATCATTCCACCACCAAAATTATAAACAATTTAGACCAGACGGGTTTTGCTCACAGCCTTCCAGGCACCATCCAGATTTCCTCACTGCAGCAAGAGGCTTCGTTACTCCTACCAACACCAACCAGAGGGCGTGGAGAGAGCCACCTCAGCACGTTGTCTGCTGGCAACAGCTCAGCATCCCCCAACACACATTTAGGGAAAAGGAGGGAAAACACTGCAGCCTGTTTCCCTACATAGGGAAGCACAGCAACACAGACCCAAGTGTCAGGAACTGGAACCAAACCGAGCCCCCCTGACACACTGACCAATGGTGACACTGCGGGCTCACGCTGGCTGCCCAAACAGCATGCTGAATGAGCTCACTATTGCTGCCCAGGGACTCAAGAGCTCCCAGAGCGACCAAAAATACCTCTGGCTGATGAGTGGACTGGGGAGGTGGTGGAGGGGACAACGAAGCACATTCAGTGCAGTTACAGAAGCAGGGGTGGGGTGTTAAGTCTTTGATGATGGGGTTTCTTTTTCTTGTTTGTTTGCTTTTAAGACATAAATATCTTCCCAAGGGGGCAACACATTCAGGAATCTAACCATAGCCATCCCTGTTCATCGCAGGGAAGTTGGTTTAGATGGCCTTTAAAGGTCCCTTCCAGCTCAAACAATTCTATGAATCTACAAATTGGAACCTGAAAAGCAACAAAGTTGAGAAAGATTGACACCGCTTTTCTCCCAAAAGTTTTAAGGATGAGAACTGCTTCAGGCTTCAAGATCAAAACGCGATTTGTCTTATGAATGCCGGGAGCTGCTCTGGGGAGATGGACAAGGCTGGCCCAAGTGAAAGCAGAGGCAGCACTGCTCAGGCACTCCCCACCAAAGCCTCTGCTCTCAGTTCTGTTGGTAGTCGCACTGCAGCATCAGGCTTGCATGCACCTGGGATTTACACTGTCCACGGGACACAATCTCAAAAAACACTAAGCCTGCCACCAGAAAGCAAAGGGAGGCACAAGTTGAGTTCTGACAGCAAATCCAGGGTCAGACTATGCACTCCTAAAGTGCATTTTCTCCAAAACAACTTTCACACCAGCCGAGATTGTTCCTGGAAGATCAACTCCACCTTTGAACTGAAACCCAATCCACACTTCCAGGTGGCAGTGATGGCACAGCTCCGGGTGGTTTGCTATCTGAGTTATTCCGTCAGTGGGACAAACAGCTTTGGGATCCCTTCAAGGGGGCGCTGGGTGCCCCTGGGGGGCTCCTCCAGTGGCTGCCTTGGGGCAGCCGTTGGGGCCCTGATGGACCAACCCCACAGCCCAACTTTTGTTCTGCAGACTCCTCCCTTACCCAGCTAATGCATGAAGAGCTTAAAAACAAAAGCAGCAGACCTTAGTCATGCTGATTTTCCCTCCCCAGCTATTGGGATGGTGATGGCAAATGTGATAAACAATTTGAGATAACAAGCAGCAGGAGCCTGGCGGAATACAAAGCGACCTGTCCCCAACACAAATAGCTGCGATCAAGTAATGCATATTCGGGGGAAAAGTTATCCCAAGGTCAGCCCCGCAGAGGTGGCCAAAGGCGGGCTTAGGGGTCGGGTAGGACTTTCCATTAGGAGACGCACCAGGAGCTTAGAAAAGATGCCGAGCCACATGCTCTACATCCTCAAAGCAAAATGGAAAACATAAAACAAAACCAATCTCAATATCTATTCTGTGAATACCCCTACAATTCTCTTAAGGGAAACAAAAGCCAGCACTGGCACTAAAAAAATCAATCCAAAATATGCAACGCGCAGACAGTATGGTTTAACAGCTAAGCAAAACAACATTTTTATATAGCACATATAGGGCTTGCATAACCAATCGCTGCAAAAGCCTGAAGTGCTCTTAAAAGTAACACCACTAACAAGGCAAAGACCACTCTTTTGGCACAATTCAAAGGACCTGGAGCACAGACAAATGGAGCTGCAGCTCAAGTATCATTCCTTCCTGCCCTGCAGCTGGGGATTTCACAAACTCTTTTAAAAAAAAAAAAACAAAAAAACTTGTTAAAATTCCCAGGAGAAAAAAAAACCCCACACTGTGCTGAATTTGAGGCACAACAATTCCAGCACTCCATCACTCTGAGAGCCTGAGGCCTGGCCCCAAAGACAAGGGGCAGAGCAGCACTGCAACCCTGGGGGCTTCACGCAAGTTTGGGGGCAGAAAGCAAAAGGACGAGGCACATCCCCACGTGGCCATCACGGTGCTGGGTGCTGCTCACCTGGTTCCATCCTGCGCGCTGCAGTTGACATCAGCCCCGTACTCGAGGAGGTGCCGCACGATGCTCAGCCAGCCCCTGGCACAGGCCTCATGCAGGGCACAGTAACCTGCGTTGTCACGGTGGTTGACATCGCAGACCTTGTTTTCCAGACAGTACAGCACCACTTCCTGGAAAGAGCAGAGGACGAAAAACAGACACACTGAGTTATTTGTCACTGCACGGGCTTCTCTTCTCTAAAGAAAAAGATTATGGAGGAGACGACACACACAATCGCTATGATAATTCCATGCGTGGGGCTGGCAGCAATGCTTTGGCCCTTACACCTGCACTTCTGAGTGCAGGATTCTGCACGTGCAACAGCATCGTGGCTAACATCAGTTGGGATTGTAAAAGGAAAAAGCACGTGACCCGATGCAAAACACATTTAACAAATAAAGGACAGTTTACTATCAGGAAACAAAAAAGCCTGGCTCCGTCATCACCGGGGAAATCCCATCTTCACCCACGCTGATTCCTGGGTGGAACCCAAGCATGGCACCAGCTCCAAACAGCGAACCCAGTGCTGTAAACTCAGCACCATTCATCCTGCAGTCAGTGCACCACAGTGGAGTCCAACCAAAGATTTGGGGTGATGCAAGTCTTCCTCTTTTTGTGCAAAAAAAAACTCAATCCAATCTGGACAGATCTGAGAGGAGCTTTTCAGTATCTGAAGAGGAGCTATAAGAAGAAAGGAGACAGACTCCTTGGCACAGCCTGTTGTGATACGAGGAAATGGTTTCCAACTAAAAGGGGAGATATTTAGACCAGATATAAAGAAGAAGTTTTTTATAATAGGAGTGGTGAGGCACTGGCACAGGTTGCCCAGAGAGGCAGTGGAAGCCCCATTTCTGGAGACACTCAAGGTCAGGCTGGACGGGGCTCTGAGCACCCTGATGTAGCTGCAGGTGTACCTGTTCACTGCAGGGGAGTTGGACAAGACAGGCCTTTTAGGGCCTCTTCCAACTCAAACAATTCTGTGATTCAGTGATTCTATGATTTTTAAGTGATGCTGTAGGCACACACACAGCAAAATGAAAGCACTGATTGTGCATTTGCTGCACCCAAGGATTACAAAGTACAGCAAGGATCAGGGGGCCCTTTGCTTTGTCAAAAGACAAAAATTCAGCGAACACTACGCACAATGCAGATATTTCTCCTGGCTTCAAATCCAGCAGAAAGCCCGCAATCAGCCGCGCTCCCAGCATCCCTGACCTGGGGACTGGTATCCAGGATACAGCATGGAGCCACGCTTCTCACAGGCCCACGCCAACCAGCCTGAGAACGAGAAGGGAGCAGCCAGAAGCCATCCCACCCCGAGTCTTGGCCACCATCATCCCACTCATTGCCCCCAGGGCCAAGAACCAGCCCAGAGAAGAGGATGCTCTCACCTCATGCTTTCCCAAGGAAGAGTGGTATGAAATTATACCCTAAAGGCATGACTTTCCCTGCACACCAGGCCTCCCTGCCGGCCACACAACGGGTGGATGGTTGCAGGCAGCAGAAGCCTGGCCACGCTCAGCGCCACTTTTAGCACGCAGTTACCGTTTAAAATAGCTTTTGCAGCTCAGAATAAGAAAAGGGCCTTTCAACTATTTCTGCAGAAGGAAAAGGCTCGTTTCAGGGCAGAGGACCCACCGCTGGCCAAAAACGCTAATTCTGTCGGGCAATTCTACATTAAGAGGCTATAAGAAGAATGCCATTAACCACAAAATGTAACCATAAAGCCCATAAAACTCTACATTGTTAATTAATTAAATGCCTCATTAACTTTTTCTTAACATGATTTATTCAATTCACAAAAAAATTAGCCATCGGTGGCGAATGTGGGGACATGTGGTGTTACAAACATGTTTTGGGTTCCACAAGCATCTCTCACCAGCACTGGAGGAAGGCCATGAAAGTGCAACAGGAAAGCTCAACGCCTGTTAGGTGCTCTGCTCTGCTCCCAGACGAAGTACAGACAGACCCACTGACCGGAGCAGACACGACAACCTGTGTTGCTCGGCGTGGGGCTGGGCCCCAAGGCAATTCCCAGTGTCAGCGGAGAGAGCCTACCAGAGCCTTTGCCCCCCCTACACATTTAACTGCCTTCCCAAATGGGACTTATTCCCTAATCTACCAGAGAACTTCCCAAGTCCAGGCACGGAATAAAAAGCACTGAGCAAGCACACGCACAGGCAGCCTTTCTCCCGTCGCATTCATTACAGAAGCTGCTTGTAATTTTTTTCCGAAAAGCCTTTATGCTCCCTGTAATTCCCCCTCCTCCTTCCCCCCTCCGCAAACAGTAAATTACAGTTTTAAGACTACTATTATCTCAAGTCATTTGTTTCAAATGGTGAAAACGTAATGGATTCAAGCACGACCGCAGGCTGATGCGCAGGGCCTGGCGCAGACTCCAACCAAGGAAGCGCACGGCTCTCCCGCAGCCCCGGGTTAGCTGTGAGCACAGCGATGTGCCTCTGAATGAGCCACGGCCGCCCCGCGGCACCACCGGCTCTGCTGCTCACGGGGATGGCAGAGAACAAGCGTCTCCAGCTGCCACAGGTCACACGCTAGCAAATGAGCTTGACCCACCAGCTTGTTGTGTTTTTTTTTTTTTTTTTGTGGAACTTCTTGACCACTGCAATTTTTCCAGGGGATTCAGCTTCCTACTGAGCACAGCAGTGCAGCTGCTGGCTAGCAAACAGGCCAGACGCAGAGCTCCACAGCTGCTCCAACTACAGCAGCCATCCCCACTAACAGCCAGAGAGCTCTTCCCCTGCTGTGCTCCTGGGGAGATCCAGCGCAGCCGCCCTCTGACAGAAAATGAAAACCCCACCCAAACACAGGTCTGCTCAAGGCTTTCAGGACCTTCACCCTGGCTGCTGGCTGCAGCCATCCTGATAAGGGCTGCAGCCAGCTCCTGCTATCAGCAAAGCAGACAGAAAGCCCTCAGCCCCTGCTTCAACAGGACCTTGGCTCATCACAGATTTTTTTAGAAGCTCCCACTGACCTGAGTGGAGCACAGAAAGCAAAGTGCCAGGTGTCCCGTGGCAGCCCACTATGCAACTGAGCGCTTGTTCCTGAAGATGCCAAGCAGGAAGAAAATACCCACTCAAAACTAACAGCATACACTGCAATATATTTTGGCTTTGGATCCATGGGAAATTTTAGATCTTAAATAATTTAAATTATGAAGATTGCCATAGTAACACTGTAGCAACTACTGCTCCTCCTCCCAGCTAGAAGTGCCCCAAGCTGGAAGCAGTTGTGCACAGGACACACACCACAGAACCACAGAATCATAAAAACTGGAAAAAACCTCTAAGATCACCCAGTCTAACCTCTAAGACCAACCAGCCCATCACACCATGCCCACTGCCCATGTTCCTCACTGCCACATCCACAAGGCTCCTTGAACACCTCCAGGGACAGCAACTCTACCACCTCCCTGAGCAGCCTGTGCCCCTGCCTCACCACTCTTTCTGAGAAGAAATTGTTCCTAATATCCAACTTGAACCTCTTCTGGAGCAAATTGAGGCCATTCCCTTTTATCCTACCTGGAAGAAGAGGCTGATCCCCACCTCATCACATCCTCCTTTCAGGTGGCTGTATAGACTGGTAGGGTCTCCCCTGAGCCTCCTCTTCTTCAGACTGCACAATCCCAACTCCCTCAGCCGCTCCTTGTAAGACTTGTGCTTCAGACCCCTCACAGCTTCACTGCCCTTCTTGGAACACACTTGAAGGCCCCAGTGTCTTTCTTGCAGTGAGGGGCCCAACCTCCTGCCTGCCCTCTCCCAGAGCTGCAGGCCTCCCTCCAGCCCCGGCCACACAGAGGCCATGCCCAGGCTCCAACAAGACCTTAAGTTCTGTTGATGCTCAGACTGATACCATTAGGGCTGATGTTGAGGCTGTCCCTTCACCCAGCCACTGAGGCCACCCACACTGAGGCCAGGAATTGCACGCTGCTGCGCAAGGCCTGGCACTGCATGACAACACCTCCCAGATCTATATACCCAAATACAAGTGTCCTGAGCAGCTGAGCCACTGAGCGCATCGCTCTCCGATTTCCACAGCACCAGGGGGCTGCTCCGTGAGCAGGAGCAGCGCTGGGAAGCTCCAGGCCGCCGGCACAACATGCATGGAGCACTCCTGCGGTACATCTGAGCGTGCAGGAGGACTCTGAGTGCTGTGTCACACACCCATCGCTCCTTGGAGAAAAGACGGAAAAACAAAAGCCCGCTTCTAAACCACCCGCTCCTCAGCCAGGGACAAAGGCAAAAATGACACGGCTCATTAGAGATCACCTAAAAAAATAAAAGCCCTGGGTTCTGTTTGCAGATGGTTCGCATTTAGGCAGAAGCCAGGGCTGCTAATAGATCTTCACCCCGTGCTTGCAGCCCTCCCCGTGGGAGGGGGGAAAGGTTCCTGCAGTGCACCAGGCTCCCACCCATCCCACTGGAACACCCTCGGGCGCAGGCTCACCTCGTAGCCCAGGCGGGCCGCTCGCTGCAGCAGGGTCTCGCCTGCGTTCTTGTTGACGATGAGTCGGCGGGCCTCAGGCGGCATGGGCCGGCTGGGGGGGGGGCTCAGGAGGGGGACTGGCCACCTGCAACGCGGCAGGCTGGGGAGGCGGTGGGGCGGGCTGCAGCCGCTCATACAGCTTCTGCTCATAAGGTTTGGCGGGCGAAGAGTCGCAGTCTGAAGTGGGCTCCGTGCGCTTCCTCACCTTCTTCGGCACCGCCACCTGTCAAAGCCATCACCGTGTCGGGGTTTTGTCTTTTACTTTTCCCTCCCCGCTTTTACAATGCAGCATTTTGCCGGCAGAGAATTACACCCTTCTGCCGGCGCTGAATTTTTCTTAAGAAGGCCCTGCAATGGCTTTTAAACGCGAGACTCCTCCATCCCCACAGCAGCAGATCAAACATGGGCAGGGTAAGGAAAGCAAACGTAGAACGTGCAAAGCACGCACAGAAATGCCGGCGCGGAGCACCGCTGCCTGCATGCACGCAGTGCAGTCGCTCTGTGCGTTAGCTCTGCACACGGTGCGCTAGTGGGCAATTAAGGCTAAATAAAGATACCTTATCTTCGGCATTTTCGATATCTGTGGTGTCATCCCCTGTCAGGGATGACCTCCTCCTCCTCTCCTGCAGTGCCAAGTGTTTTGTTTTACACTGACGTTTCCCTGATGGCTTCTCGCACTCGGCGTATTTCTGCAGCAGAGACTCAGGTTGGAAATCCTCCTCTTCGTCTGTGTACAGCCCATCTGTCTTCCGGCTTTCTTTAATTTTCTGCTGTTTGGCAGCCAACCTCGAGGCTGGAGTGCAGCTTGGCTGAGCCTGCCTTTTGCTGTTTGCATTGCTGGATGAAAGGCTCTTCATGTGCGGAGACACTGGGAATACAGGCAAGCCTAAACGGGAAGGAAAGGCATTACACGTTGCATGGCGCGTTAAAAGCAAAACATATTGCTAGCACTTAACACGAACTCCTTGACTGCTTAAGAGATCTACCAATTACATTTTCAAATCATTAATATTTCAAGCGTGCCGCATTCCAATTGTAAACAGCATCCTGCAACCTAACGTCCGCTAACAGTCGCGACGCCCCAATGCGAAGAGCTGCACTCAGCTCCCTGCTGCCAGCACCCAGCTGGGGAGCGGCCGCTCCTTACCTGGGCTGCCTGCTCCAGGCACTGGGAACCCAGCACTCCACACCTGCGCCCCACCGGGCTGCGCCTGCAAGGATGGAGCTGGAAGGGGGAGAGGGAGAATGGAGAGTGTGGGGGAGTCTGGTGGGACAGCCGTGAGGGCAGCAAGAGAGGGAGCATCCCTGCAGCGGTTTTAAGTCAGCACAAGAGAGGCCTGCGGCAGGACGCACTCAAGGACAGGTTGGGTTGGTAGAGGGCTCGTTCTCATGGGCAAAAGCCACAATGAGAAAAAGAGTGCAAGCAGGTCTGCAACAAAGCAAGGACAGGAAAGTTGACTTTTTATAGCCCGAATTCCCCTCAGGAAGAGAAGCGAGATGACCTCAGAACCAAGTTCTTTGCAGAAAGATGCACTAAGGGCGGCTGGAAAGGAAGGGACACTTCAGCCTGACAATGCCACACCACTGAGAGACGGTGCGGAAAAAACCCACAGCACTTGAAACAGACTCTTCTCACCGAGGAGTCTCTGAAGTGATGCTGCTTTCAGAAGAGAAGAGGTGGCAGGAGCAAACAAGGCACCAGGCTGCTCCCAGAACTGAAACCTTTATTTAAAGAGGCGTGATCCAGAGCCAGCTGGTAACAAAAAATCTAGAATGCTCTTCACACTTCTACCTTCCCTTAAATAGAGCTGCAAAGGCAACTTGCAGAAGACTTTCCGGACTAAAGATGAAAACAGAAATCCCTTGCTTTGGAGCCACTTTCTAGAAAAAGATGCACATGGTGGTGTGCCAGCCAGATGTCAGGGAGTTTATGGGACACATGATGTGCAGATTGTGCACCAAAATCCAGTGAGCCTCCAGGCTCTGCAGCTGGGCAGGATGCCTTCCAGCTGAGGGCTGAGCCCACCACTGTGGGGCCGTCCTTCCAGCACCACAGATCTTTCTAACCACGATGGGAGAGCAGCAAGAGCGGGCAGGAATATCCCTTTAATATCCATGCAAGTTAAAAAACCCAGCCCCATGAGTGATGTGGCTTGTGGTGAGCTGACTCAGAGCAGGGCCAGCTCCCTGCCCGCAGGCTGCAGGATGCCTCGGCTGCTGCCGGCACCGCGGGCCATGGCTGGAGTGCTGTAGGAGCGTGCCTCCCAGCACGGCCAGCATGTGGGAGCAGCCACAGAGAGAAACGGCCAGGGAAACAGGGTCTGCTCCTGCATTAGAAACACCTGCTTGAGGCCAGAGAGAGAAATTTGAGGACAGGTCCCCGGTGAGAAGGAACATGCAGAAGTCTCCATCCTGGCGTGACCACCACACAGTGAATGCTCTGTTGCACAACAGGGAAAACTTCCCCACCCTGGTAAACTACAGATTTAAAGGCTTACACTTCAGCGAGGCCAGCAAAGTGACCTGAACGGTTTCTAGAACCTCCACATACTGGCCATTGAGGAGCAACTCAGATGGGTTTATGGTTTTATGAGAGGCTTCCAAAACCAGAAGGCTTTTCATAGTCATGGGGTGACTGAATCTCAACGCCTCTGAAGCAGGGCACGAATGGGGCGGCATCTTTTTCTCTTTCCCAAGGTTACGTGTTAAGAGAAGACTGCCACTGCCTCAGGAGGCATTGCGGGGGAAAGCCGAGCATCCTCACACAATGCACCTCCTTGTTAGTGACCCTCGTTTAATCTCTACAAGATATCTCTTTCTGAAAGTACAAAGGAGAGCAGGAGATGGGCAGGGATGTCTGAGCGGATACCACGCTCACCAAGGCAGCACATAAAGCAAGGGAGGAAGAGTCAAAGCACCTTTTAAACTGTCTTGATCTTCTGCTCCATAAATCCTTTTGGAGAATTTCCCCAACAGTAAGCATCAAAGTTTGGGGTTTTCTGCAGTTAGATAATCATAACAAGTAGAAAGATGGGCAAGAAGCTTTAGCACAGAACTGAAGCTGGCAGCTTTACGTGCGACTGCTTTGGACATGCCACCCAGGAACACTGTCTCCAGTGCAGGGTGACCTAGCTTCAGTCCTGCCCTTGGTGTGGGACAGCAGGACCCCTTCCTTCTGCTTCTCCCTCTCAACAGGGTCTCAGCAATGCCACCAGCTTGATGGAGCTGCCAGCCCTGGGGGAGCCCAAGCATCTGCCTGGGAGCTGCCCCACCATGGCCTCTCCCCAAGACAGGGACTGAGCAGAAAGGAGGAGAGAAGGCAGGGAAAGGGGACACTGGGGAGACAGTCAGAAACAAAACCAAAGAAATGGGATGCCCCTTCAGGGAGTGACCCACACAACGGAGCCTGAGTACCATGGGGCTAAGAGGATGCCTGGAGGAAACCATCCAGGCACCTCTCAGGGAGGATGATGAGCCTGGCTCAGGCCCCAGGAAGAAGAGGCAGGGAAGCCCAGCAGAGCACAGAGTGATGGAGACATTGGGTTCCCAGACACACCACTGGTAGCTGTCCCAATGCTGCCCACCCCACCACTCTGATCCCGCACCCAGACTGACAGTCTGCTCCCTCCCAGCCTCCCTCGCCCACCACCACCATATACACCCCCCATCTCCTCTAGAGACACAAGCTCTATCTCCATGTTATCTACGAGAGGGTTATTTAAAGCCAGAAGACACACACACGCACAAACACGTAGTTACACACACATACACAAACACATTTGCTTGTCTGCCAAGTATCAGCTACGGTGCAGCTCGTACAGAGGAGGTGTCAGTGCTTACACAAAGATAGAGAGATAGATACTTTTAAAATAAAGCTCTCGACAGTTCCTTAACATCGGTGGCAGCATGCGTCACTGTAAATGCTAAAGCCAGCGGGTTTCCCTAGTAGTCTCTGCATACCTTGTTCATTGTCACTTGTTTTGAGGGACTCTTCAGACCAACTTCTATTGCTTTTGGCCTCTGACCTTTTCTTGGTGTGCCTTTCTTCTGTGAAGTCTTTGACCTTTGCAGTGGCCTCTGGCTGAACAGCCTCAGCTAAATCTTTCCTGCTTTGCCGGCCCAACTTGCCGGACGGGGATCTCTCTGGTGACACCTGCTGCTCCCATAGTTCCCTAAGATGCTGCAGGTGACGCTGCTTTTTGGGATGGAGCCCTGTTAATTCAATGCACACCTTCAGGTTGGTCACCTCATTACAATTGGGCTCTTCTAAGTGGTTAGAGGAATTGTTTGTCATTTCCCTCTCAGGCCAGTCATCTAATGGAAAAATAACTAAAAATTAATCAAAAGGCCCCCTCAACTTAAAACAAAAGCTACATTTCACTTTCGGGGCATATAGTCTCACCGCACTATGCATTTTAAAGGTTCGCTCATTAAGGGTTACATGCACTACAGTATCTCGCACTGCTGTGGCTACAGTGTCCAAGGACTAGTGCTTTACCCGTGTATACCAGGGTTTTTATATATACGTATATATATATACATGCACATATATATACATACATATATATACATATATATAACTTTAAGTGAAATGACAGTGCTCACATTAGCAACTATCAAGTTCAAAAATGGAAACACATTAAGCCAAAGGGATGTTCCTTTCACAAGACATTCCATGAGAGAGACCACAGCAAAATGCCACCTTACCTTTGGAGCTCTTCTTCTTTTTTGCCTTTGATACAAATTCATCCTGCAGCTCGTCCACAAAGCCCTCGCTTTGGCTGCCATCATTTTGCACTCTCTCACCAGAGTGTTTACGCTTCCTGTCCAGACGCGGACATGGATGTTGGCCAATCTCTTCTGTTGGCTGGTCTTCCGCTTTGTCGTATATAGAATGTCTCTCTACATAACATTTCTCATTTGAGAGATCTTTTTCCTCCAGAGCTTCGAGAAAGTGACCTTGGTTGTTTTCTGCACTAGCAAAGTTACCTAAAAATGAAAGAGAATAAAGACGTGGTAAGTGCAAAACAATTCAGTGTGAGAAAGCTGAGCTCTCTGATCTCCTCAATGTCATCTCTATCACGAGTTAGAGTTTATGAGGCACGCATAAACAGCTCTCTGGTCAGCCTAACCCAGCAGCTTTCTCAACCGCTACATACAAATCCCCAAAAGTAGGATTCTCACTGTTGTTTACACCAGTTGGAGAAGTACAAAACTCACAATGCTTGTAGCCATAGAAACATCACAATATATTTTTTAAAATAAAGAAACATCTTTACATATTGAAAGCGCAGACCCTTTTCAGCAGGCAACCTCGCCCCCAAGCCTTGCTAAGTAATAACCCAAGCTACACTTTGCAATGACTTTCTTTTCAAAAATACTCTCTGATTATAATAATGCATCATTTTTCCACTAATTCATAATTGTTCCCACATCGAAATGCAGATTCTGGCTTAAAAGCATTTGTCCCTTCTTCTGGAGATGTAAGTGGGAAACTGCGCACGCACACTCAGACACGGGAATACCACTAAGAATAGCGATGGTATTTTGCAAAAAAGCACTACTTGAATCCAAGGTTATAAAAAGGCTTCCTCACATAAAGCAATCAGACAGACGTGATCCTTATCATTTCCTTAAAAAAAAAACAAAAAAACTGCACTCACTCAGGGAGGTATTTCCAGGGATAGCGACCAGGTGAGCACTGAAAGGCGTGCTAGGATGTGGCCTGGCAAGGCAACACAGAAACACTGTGCTGTCATACTTTCTGTGCTTGGTCCTCTTCCCCAAAATTTAAGGACAGAGTGATTTTAAATGGATGCTTGGGTCCCAGGCCTTTCCCCAGGCACCTGCAGCCCCCAGTGCAGCCCGAGCGCATCCCTCCTTATCCCCAGAGCTGCAACTTGGTGCAGCTCTGCCAACACTCGCAGCTTTCACCATACCCTTCAAATGCAGAATGGGCAGATGGGGGGAAGGGGGAGGAAGCAATTGCCCCTCCCTAATGAGATTTTTCTTCATTGCAACTTGGAAAAGGCTCCAAGCAGCACCCAGCAGTTTGCAGGCACCAGCAGACACCTCAGAGTTGCTCGATGCCTGCAGGGCTGTTGTATAAAACAGCAGAAGATATTCGGCCAAGAAAAATCACAACACAAGCTGACTTTTTCCAGCCACGTGTTGGGATGTTCAAGCCACTCTGCTATCTGGCACCCCCACTTCCCCCAAAACAAGAATGCGTTTGGGAAGAAGCCAGCAGACACCTCCCAGTGCAGCCCGCACAGGGTCGCAGCAGCAGCCCGTGGAGGCTTTGGTCGCTCTTAATCTTCAGCTTCGCAGGAAGCAGCGATCTAATTCCAGCCCGCTGCCACCGCAGGCAACCGCCTCCGTATTAATTCCTTCTCTGCCGGAGGAGAGAGGGAGGGCCTGGCACGGGGAGGCAGTGCCAAGACACAAGGCAGAGGGCAGGGACGCCCGATCCGTGCTGGCTGACAGCTCTCCCCCACTGGCACTGCTGGCAGGCTGAGGAGCAGTGACACAGCCAGACCCCTGTGCTCACTAATCCGTGTTGCATAACTGCCCCGCAGAGCTGAGTGGGGCCACGGTGCTGTGTGGGGCTCATCCAAGATCCCTGTCAAGTGGGTTCCTGCAGCCTGTGAGGAGCACTGCGAGCACCGAGCCAACAGGAGGCCTGGCAGCACTTGTGTGCCCAACAAGGACAAGAAGTTGTTTGTGCTTTTAATCTGCCTCCCTGCATTCAGGTGGGATACAAGGGAGAATTTCTTCTCAGAAGAAGTGATGAGGCAGTGACACAGGCTGCACGAGAGTGGGGTAGTCCTGGAAGTGTTCAAGAACCGTGTGATTGTGGCACTGAGGGACGTGGGCAGTGGGCATGGTGTGATGGGCTGACAGTTAGACTGTCTTAGAGGTCTTTTCCAACCTTAATGATCATACAAGTACAATATCCTTTTCTCTGCTCTAGGTGGAAAACAACATGCTTTGAGCCTTCCTATCCTCATTATTCAACCAGCGAAGAGGTAGCCAGAAACAGAGGATAAATGCTGAGTTCTCATAGCAACACACCTCTACGAGCAAGGAGATTAAACTCTCAAACGTGTTCCTGCCTCAGCCCTCAAGCATCGCGACTCTCACCGCACCGCGAGAATCAACACCAACACCACAAACCATGCCTGCTGTCCTACGACACTACGGATGAGGGGACTCCTTCACACATGGCTTCTGTCCGGAGCCACATCTCAGTACACTGGCTCACGAGAAGCAGTTCCACACGCACAGCAAAAAAAAACACGCACAAACTTTCCTTTGTTTTTTTTCCACCTTCCTGTTGCCGTCAGCTGTATGAGACTGGGGCCTCCCATGCAATGCAAACAAGGAAACACATCGTTGTGTTTGAGCTGCAGTTCTTTTGTTCAAATAACATGGCAGCTAAAAACAGCATTTCCTCTTCCCCGCAGCTACCTTGCACTGCACTCACTTAGGCAAGGCAGTCTTTATGCATACCTGTGCCGTACTGACAACCCAAGTGCTACAAACCAGCATCCAGCATCCAGCACCCAGCACCCAGATCACAACACAGTCAGAAAGTCACCTTCAGCACCAAATCCAGAGCATCCAATGTGTCAGAGGAAACCCAGTTGGTTTTGTGTCTTTTTTCTCCAAGCATCTCTGCTTGGGAACTTCCCCAATTTGTTTCCATTTGCCCAAACAAACACACTACCGCTGTCTCCCTGCACAGCCATTTTTCCTACTTTTTTGCATCGTGTGAAGGCAATAACTGCACAGGGCACGGGACACGCTCGCTGCTGTGACCTCTCATTTGCCTAGGCATACTCACAGCCCAGCAGAACAGATGAGCAGAAGGCTGTTGGGCCACATGCACAGTGGCACCTCGTTCCGAAGCTGCCCACCAGCCAACTGCAGCTTTCACTTTCACACACAGAAACTGCTTCAACTTTTTTCCTCACGCCTTAAAACCAGGTTTTTAACCTATCAGGTCCCATTCTTCCCAGTTAAGGATTAAATGGGCAGCGTCTTCCTGCTATAAAATGAGATGAGCGGGTAATTATGCTCCCCGATGAGGAAATTCATGGCTTGTGGAATGCATTCAATCTTTCACACTCCGGTATGATTTTCAGCATCGCTCCGAGAGCTGTGCTGCACGCCAACATGCGATCATCACATGCCCGTATTGATGTGCGTGTCCATGCCAATAGCTTAAATCACTTGATCTCCGAACAATTCTCTGACTCATGACATATGCATCCTATAATTTATCGTGTTTGTGCTATGGAAATGCACCGAAGAAGCATTGCCTCAGCAACATTTACAAGTCACCTTGGCAACAAAGCAGCTTCACCGCTGTTCTCATAATGCCCCGGAAAACCTGAACAAGATGGGAGAGAATCAAAGCACCTCAAGTTAGAGGTGCTTAGATTTTCTCAGCTTAGATTTCCCCATATCAGGGCAGTACACCACATGCCTAAAATCAGGCACGAACCTCTGGCATAGCACAGTGAGGCAGTGCTGCAAAGCTCAATGCTGCCAAGTCAGTGTAAAAGTTGAAGGAATCAGGTACAGCCTTCATTTGCTTCAAAAATAAGTCAGTGTTCGTGCTTCACACCTAAGCAAAACAACCATTCTCGAGGGTGCCCTAACAGAAGAGCCTGCATCCCATCAAGTGCCTCTCCAAGCATCACCTGCCGCGTTACCCAGCCTGCTGTCATTGCACCGGCAGCAGCAAGCTGGCCCCATGCTGCAGGCACATTAGCAAGCTTTCACGCCAAACACAACAGCGTGGTTAGGAACTGGAGGAAATGGGAAGCAAACAGCATTTCTCCCCTGATCACAGACAACAAGCATAAGAGCGAGGTGCGCGTGGCCCTGCTCGGGCAGTGGTGTGCTGGGAGCTGCAGCTTGAGCCGTGCAGAGCCGCAGGCAGCCGGGGGCCTCCTGATTTATCTGCTGCTGTCCCCGGGGGCAGGAGGTGAAACACCACGATAAAAAACGTACTGAGGGCTGAATGTGTGCCTGTAAACACTGTTGGTAGCACGGGCAGGCATGCTGGAGAGGAGTTCTGATGTTAGGGGCTTATAGCTTCAGCCAAACTCTGAAACTCCCCCCTAACCAGAGCACATCAGCAGCAGGGAGGCACAAACCAACAAGACTGAGCACACTTCTGCCTCAGACGTGCTGCAGCCAGCAGACTCGGGAACGGGAGACCTCCACAAGTGATGGATTTAAGGACGTACTGTAACACTGGCCTTTGATGAAGGCAGCACGGGGGGAGGAGGGGGTGAGGGGCAGGCAGCATACTGTGCATCCTTTCCTCTTGGATCCAATCGGGGGAGTGCCAGTTGGGTGCTGCCCTTCCTCCTTACAGCCACCGCAGTACACTATGATGAGGGAATTCCCACCCAGCTCCTCAGCTCAGCCTCCTCCCCAACCTGACGCTGCTCCACTCCGACATTCAGAACCCCCCTGCCTCGCTGCCTGGCCAGACCAACCCTCATTCACGCTGCTATTTCATGGCAGCAATGCCACAGTAACTTGATTTAGGTGAGTAACGGAGCAAGCACGATTGACTGGCGTGCTCTCTGCCAAAAAGCATTAAACAAAGACCAGAACAATAATTCAAAGTTATTAAATTGCCCGAATAAATTCCCTACTGGCCTTACTTGCGCATCCCTACCCACAGCAGCACACACATCCCTCAGGCTGCCCAACACACACACTGACAGGGGCACCACAATGCCTACGCTGCGCTTCCCCTTGTTTAGCTATGCTTTCAGAGCAGGCTTTTTTTTTGGAGCAGTTAAAAACAAAGTAGCAGCAGGGGGAACCAATCCTTTCCTTAATTACTTCGTAAAAGAAAACCAATTTGGAAACTGATGGAAGCCAGATGCTTACCAACAGTTCCCAAAATAAGAAGCGATTTTGCCCACATAACGCAAAAAAAGCCAACACCAGCTATTTACTGACGCTTCCCCGCCTCCAGAGCTCCATCCCCAGTACCACACACCCCCAGGGCCAGACAGAGCCACGAGATCTGTACAACCTGCACATGCAAGACACACAGATCACCCCACGCCAGTTCTGCCCCAGCTGCTGCGGCACAGACACACAGACACATTTCCGAAAGCCATCGAAACACGCTTACATCTGTCATTGTCATTTTGGTCAGCAATGGCATCTTCCAGAGCGACAGGCTTTGGCTTCTTTTCACTGCTTCCTTTCAAGTTTTCCCAGTCTGCCTGGCTGAATCTGCAGACCTCTGAGTCTTTGGTAGCTGTTTGGCCTTCTCTCTCTTTCATCTCCAACTCTGAGAAGCGCATCATTGCACGCTAGAAAGAGAATTCATATGAAAAAAAAAGTCTTGCGATAAAAGCGCCTTCATTTACCTTACCTTCTATGAAAGTATTTCCAAAGAAAAAGCTGAGCCAGACAGTTAGCGTTAGAGTTTTAAGCACCTGACTTGTCAAACAGTGTTCTAGCATCGATATGCAAACAGCCACACAATTCTTTCTTAGATCAGTGTATATATATGCATATATATATATATAAATGTATACTGTATATAAAACAAAAACATTCCAATTTGGAGATAAAAGGAGACAAAAACAAAAAGAAATTAAAAAAAAAAATAACACAAAACTGTACAATGAATAAAGACGACCATGGCCCACAAACTTCCCTTTGTGTATTTGGAAATGAAATTTAACTCAAAGGTTTATGTAAGAGTCTAGTAATAAAAATTTGAAGAACTGACCTCACAGTAAGCAGCAGGTAGACATAAAATACTGTCCTCTTGTAATCCTTCCATCTATGTAATTAAAATGGGCACTCAATGGATCATTTAGATAATTTCATCCATTTTTATAAGCATCAACCACTTCTTTTCTTAACAATGCAAAACAATTTGGCTTAACTCATCTGTTCATTAAAAGTAAAATACCTTAAGGCTATTCCTACACAGCATCTCTCTGCCATCCCTCAGCATCAGCCTCAGTGCTGCCCCTAACTCCTTCCTGACTACTCGCTCGCGTGGTGGAACCGTAGCGCAAGCCCCACTCCTCCATGGCTGCTCTCCTCCGCACCGCACGGCACGCCTGGCATACTAATCACAACTTGGGACACACTTTGCTAGCTGGCACTGCCGGCCGAGGCAGAGATTACAGCCACCACTAGCGCTGCCATAGCATGCACTGCATTCCTGCTCGACTCCCCTCCGCAACTGCAAACACATTTCATACATACATTAACATTTCTAGCAGATCTTATTAAGAGCCCTTTAAAACTTACTCGTGCATACGTACATGAAAGTCATACATGCTATTCTTTACGCAACCTCGCTTTAATTAACAGGCTTCTCGCGCTACATAAAACCATTCCTGACAAGCACGCCCTAGCAAAAGAATCCCTGTATTTCCCCACCTGCGCTGCTGATACCAACTGTAATACTTGACTGTGACTTACTGCAGAGAAATAATGGCAAGCACCGCGCGTTGCACCGCAGGACTCACCTGTAGTGCGCGCTGCTCCCGGCTGAGCTGACTCGAGTCCGCATACAGCTCGGTCGTCACACACTTGAACCGGTCACCTACATAACCAGCAGAGTTCGCGATGCGTTTTGCCAGTTTAGATGGCTTGGGTTTCAGTATTTTGCCATCAGCAGAGTCTGCGTCATCGGGTCCATCTTTGGTATAGGTCTGGTTGGTTTCGAGGCTGGGCTGCGCGGTGCCCAAGCAGAACTGCTTGGCGTCATCCTGCGCTTTGCCAAAAGTGAGCACAGGGCCATCAGTCTCGTGGGCAGCCTCCAGGAAGGCAGGCGCAGGCTGGAGGGCCACTCTCTCTTTGCCCTGAACAGCAGGTAGGTCTTCTTTCCTCAAACTGAACAACGCTGAGCTTGGGGCTTGCTTAAAATTATAGCTGTCATGCAGATCACTATTCCTTCCGAACTCAATAAAATCCCTGTGCTGAGACGCCTGCTCTACCTTGTGCTTCGTTGGGTCGTTAGCCTGACCACCACTCTCAGCAGCAAATCCAGATTTTGCTAAGCTTGCCTCACTTTTAGAGTCCTGCTCGTCCCGCAGGAGCTCTGGGAAAAGATGCTTGTCACTTTTGGAGGAGCTCTTGCCAGATCCCTGGTGTAACTTTACCATCTTATCGCTGGACGCAACCTCATAGTGCACCTTGCCACCTGCCTCCAGCAGCTCAGGAAGCCTGCCACGCAATGAAGGATCCTCATAGCGTGCCCGCTCGTGGGACCGCGACCTCCGCTCTCCCTTCTCCTCCTTGCCCATCTCCAGCGCTGAGTGCTGCAACAACATGGGGTGCACCATCCCCATTCCCAGTGCGTCCTGGTAGGTCATGAACTCACTGCGGCCAGCTGGGAGGCTGTATGGTAGGCCAGGTTTGGGAGCAAGGTGGCCCGGGTAGAGGCTGCCGTTGGGCAGCAGGACTGGGTGCGGGTAGACATGCCCCTTGCCGTGCAGGGACAGAGGGCTGATGGCAAGGCCCTCTGGGACGGGGTATGGGAGATAACTCCTGGGGTAGGGCAGATGCGGGGAGCGGAACGCCTCGTTGGGCGGCAGGAAGATGGGGCTGGAGGCCAGGGCGCTCTCAGTGGCTTTGAAGCCAGCTTCCTGGCCGCAGGGCTTGGTCACCTTATTGCTGTGCTTGGCCGAGGTGGCCAGGGGCTGCCCTACATGCTGGATGACTGAGGCTGCACTCTCCATGCCACTCCTGGCCGCCTTGGTACAATCTGTATTGGCATTAGGAGCTGGCGAGGCCGAAGCTGGCCGTCCCCCTGCCGGCACAGTCCCTGACACACTGCCCACCGCTGCCTCTGTGCCACCCATCCTGGGGCAGGAGGAGCTCCTCTGCTGCGGGATCACCCAGTCCAGTGCCTTGTTCTTTAGCGTGACACTCTTGCCGCTCTCCTCACCGGGGCCGGGTCCAGGAACTATCCAAGAGGAAGGTGCCGTGCTGATGATCTCAGGCCGGTAGATGGGACAGGTCCCAGGGGAAAGGGTCTCCTTCTGGGCATCACCCCCCGGAAGCAGCGGCCCACCTCCCGCCCGGCCATGCACCAGTACTGTCGGTGGCATTTTTTTCACATGCTCCACTTTCCCGGCACCTTCAGCATCAACAACCTTTGCTGACAAGTCCAGGGGCTTGTCAGCAGCATCCTTGGCCGGGGCCTGCTTCTCGAGCAGCGGGGGCGAGCGGCCGTCCTTCCGCTCATGGCTGGCCTTCCTGGCATGGGGCACCGCCTGTGCCGGCCCTTCAGCAGCCTCACCAGCCTTGGGCAGCTTGCCATTGGGCAGCCGGGCAGGTGGGAAGTCACCACCCACATTCAGGTAGGGCTTGGGGAGCGGGACAGAGGAGGAGGGCGATGTGGCGATGCTGGGGAAGTGTTTGTGGAACTCGGCGTAGGCATCCCCCACCTGGGCGGGCAGTGGGAGGCGAGGGGATGGCCGGGGCGAGTGCGGCAGCAGGAGCGCAGGGTCAGGCGCCAGGCCACTGGGTGCCGGCTTGGCAGCAGGAACACGGGGCTGCTTGCTGTTTGGCAGGTGCGGGTAGGCGTGCGTCTCAACTGGAGCACCGGGGCTGACTCCCATCTTCCATGACAGACCCTTGTCTGGACAGTGCACCAACGGCGGGATGGCTGGGGACGCTGAGGCAGCCGAGATCCTCATGGGTGAGGCGAGAGAGGATGGGATATGGGGGGTAACGTAGTGGGAGGGGGGCAGGTAGAGGAAGCGCTCACCGTTGGTGCAGACAGGCGAGTAGGCCAGGTGCTGAGGCAAGCTGTAGGTGGACTGCTGAGGTAGCAACGCCTTGTACATGTTCAACGAATACTTATTTGGTGAGTCAAGAAAAGGGTAGATGGTGGGCGTCGCGCCCTCCATGTAGGGGTTCACCCAGGGGAGCCGTAGGTAGCTAGCACCATTGACGCCCAGAGGGCTCTGCTTGTCGCTCGCGGCTCGGTCCAAGCCCAGCGTTTCTCCCGTTGGGACTGAGTTTTTTTGTATTCCAGGGGGCGTTTTGTAGATAGCGCTGAAACCATTCGGGCCTTTTCCAGAGACAGCTGCGTTTTCTACTGCCTCAGGGGCATTAGACTTAAACTGTATCTCTGGATTTCTTTCAGGAGTAAATCCAAGACCAGCTATAGAACCTGTAGCATCCCGCGACTTTTCAGAGCCAAGTCCACACAAGCTGGAATAGACAATGCTACTAGGGACCCTGAGTCCTTCTCGCATAAGTCCAGACCTGTCCATGCTCAGAGCTGCCAAGCTGTCAATTCGATGGGCTGTAGTTGCATCCACCTTCACAGAAGAAGAAACGGTTAGCTGTGCACTCTGATAAAAAAAGGCTACCGCACAAACTACAGATACGCTGTCATTCTGAAGAGAATCACCACCAAGGCAAGCACTCACAGAAAACACACAGAGGATGGCCACGCTGGATTATATGAGAAGCTATGGAACAAAACAGTCCACTACAAACATCAATAAAGATCTCTCTATATCTTCAATTCATTGATCAGAATCTAAAGCTTGAGGATCCAAAGCCCAGAAAGCCCAAACATGCCCAGAGCCAGAGCCTGGCAGACACCAGCTCCCGGCCTCCAGCCCCGGCAACTCAGAATGAGGCTGGGAGCATGGAGAGCAGAACTCAGGGGAGAGCTGGAAGGGCAGGAGGGAGAGCCTCCTCCTTCCTCCTCCTGTCGTCCTCCTCCAGGAGCTCCCCCTCCTCCGCAGCTTGATTACAAGGCATCTGAGCGCACAGAACAGAGCCAGGTCAGCCATCGCTTGACAACAAGGCACTGAACTCCGCTCGCTGCTCACCACATGCTCTCAGAGGAGGAGACTGTCAGCTCTGGTGCTCAGGGACTACATGAACCGTTTGTGGTAGACTTAGCGGTGTGCTGCGTGGCATTACTCATAACGGAGCGAGAAAAGGATGAAGTCATACAGCAGCGCACACCACACAGTCAGAGCCAGGAGGCTAACGAGATAAACAAGCAAAGTCCCATTGCACTGTTCCACAGAAACAATCCCTGCATGCCCCTGCAGCAGAACTGTGTTTGAATCGCCTCTCCACATGCAACATGCGGGAACACCGGCAGGTGGGGAGGACAGATGCGATAGCAATAATTTCTTACCACACTGTGATTCAGGTGGTTTTCTTCCCTCAACTCCAGTCTGCTTTTCGGTGCATCGCCATCATTAACTGGGATTTTCCTATTAAAAAACAGAAGCTTGTTACTGGAAAGCACCCTACGCACTTCATTATCCGCCCAAGGTTGTACACTACAGCAGCCCCATCCCATACTGTGTTTAGCTGTCCATGCACGGTGACTGCATTAGCAAGAAAGGATTGTTTGAGAACAAGAACACACTGAGCCCATCTCAGGGCTCAGCCTCTTGCAATGCCCACAATTATTGCTAATGTTTACTATTTGCTCCTCTTCACTTTCTTCTTTCCCAAGAAGAAAATACACCATTTTAAACATGCCCTTTCCACGTACCACCCATAAATGCTGCAATGGAGAAAATTAAAACACACACACTAATATCATACGATTGTCAGCTGTTCCATGCTAAAGAGGGGGCTGCACATCTGTGCCATAGCAGTGCTGCAGCACTGGGACTTGTTATCACGGCAAGCGCCGATAAAGAATATACCTTAGTGCCAAATTTCAAATCCCGGGGATAAAAACCGCTGACATGCAACAGAAGGAAAGTTTCATCATTACCCCAAAGAACTCCCTTCAATCAAAGCACTTAAAGGCACACATCACTTCCATCAGACATCAGCACCCGCATCCGCGTCACCCCCGGCACCCAGCTGATCCCTGTGCAGGAGGCAGCAAGCTCACGGTAAGGCCTCGGCTGCACAACTTGCAGCAGCTTAAATATTTACCTGTCCTCATTAATTCCACACATGCGGACCCTTTCATTGCTCATCCAGCTATGAACGTTGCCATACAGGGGGGTTGCAGAAAGCATGACGTCTTCTTAAAAAATCGCTGCTTTTCTTCACGGTTTTATATTCTATTAAAAAAGGAGGGGGGGGGAAGGAAGAAGAAAGTTGAGCAGATTTGTCTGGGAGGAAATGCAAACATCAGAGCGGAGCAGGCGGCCTCCCTCCGGGTCATTAATAATGAATGCCGCGTTGGTGCGGGGAGCGGACTGCCTCCGCCAACCGCTAAGGGAGATACCCTGCAATAAAGGAGCAAATTGAGGGCATTTATAGGTCAGAGGAGATGGATCTTTTCCCCAGCGCGCGTCCAGAAAATTAAGTACCATTCCGGGCTATCGACAAAGAAAACTTTCCCCAGTACATTGAATCAGAGCATGCTGCAGTTCACACCGGCACCCAAACGCCCACCTCGGTGGGGCCGGAGCAACGGGCTCACAGCAGTAGGCTGGGGCTGGCCACAGCAGATGAGAGGACGAGAGGCAGCCACGTCCCCACACCCGGCAGTGAAGGGAATGCCTCTCCCTCCCACCACCACCTCCGCTCGCATTAAATCCTGCTTTGCTGCATGAGCGAAGTGTCAGGACAAGCTGCGTTTTATTAACAGGATTAGCACGGCGCATGATTTATTCCGGTGCAAGATTTTAATTGCTCTTCGGAGGTCGAGTCGTCGCTTTCGACTGCGCTTCAGCCCGCATCCCACTGCCGAACGCTGGCTTAAGAAGTAGGGGGAGCCTTAATGCACAGGATATCCCTCGGCTCTTCCTCTCTCACAAAAATAGAAGCCCACAAGCGGGCGGCACGGCGCTCCTCACTGCGCACAGGGCTGACCGCGGGGAGCTCAGCGCATAGCGTCTCCCACCACACGCAGCTTCCCCAGCAAACTCATTTCCTTTGTTAGGCTCCGGGATATGCAAATGGTGGCTTTGGCATTTAATGGGGAAGAATCCCAGATTGCACCTCAGCACAATACTTTGCACACGTGGGGAGGGATGTAAGGGCCCGAGCGGCGTTCGCTCCCCAACACTTTCCTCTCCCCTCGGAATGGCCTTTTGTGCATAACTCCGCGTCTGGAACAAATGTATATTAATGGCACAGCACCGTGACCCTCCTCTCTCCAGCACCATTCGCTCCCCATAATGAAGCCCACAAAAATCACTGCGAGGAAACAAAAATCTGCGGAGATTACAGACCGCGCTATCATTCAGAAGGAGTTATTTCACTGCAAAGACGGTTTCTGGACAGATTTACTGGTTTCCAGATGCGCCGCTCGTAATGTTTTCAATAGAGGCAGCAGCAGCATGGCTGGAGTGATTTAAGGCTTTCCGTACGGCTGGTGGCCGCACCACTGGGAGCCTCGCACCCTACTCGTTTTGGGGACAGCTCTGGCCTTCCTCCTGGATGTGGATGGCTGAGATAAGGCACAGTGCCCACACCAGGGCAACTAACGAAGCAAAGAACTGCACCGGAGAACAAGAGCCTCCTGAATCAGAGCCCTTTGGGGTGCAGGGTAACCAGCTGCAGCCCCATCCCCTAAAGCCACCCCAGGCACACAAGTGCGCTCGGCACCCAGTGAACTCTATGTGAACTGCAACGGGGTAGAGGCCTGCTAGTGCCACCCTTGCATCACTGCAGCTGCACCTCTAGTCGCACCCCTTCCTCTCCTCCCCTCCCGGGGGTGCCCGCAGCACTACGACGAAGGCACCGCTCCTCTATTTATACCCGCCTTCCGTGGGGGCGGCCCCGTTACGAAACCCCGACGGCAAGCATCGCGGTGCGCGGCGGGGAGAGCAAGGCCGCGTCCGGCCCTCCTCCCTCCCTCCATCCCCTTCCTCCTCCTCTCCCCGCTGAGCACCGCCCGTCCCGGAGCACCGCAGCCCCCGGAGCGCGACCGGCATTTCCTCCGGGAGGTGCCTGCCCGATAGGGCCCTCCGCGGCTAAATATAGGCGGTGATGCGCGACGGGGGAAGTGGGGGGGGGGGAGGGGGGGGGGAAGAGCGAGACGCGCACACGCGGTTCCGCAGCGCTGCCGCCGTGTGAAACCAGCTGTGAGCGGCGTCTGCAAGCACTGACCTGCACGCAACGCCATGCCGAGCCCAGCCGGGAGCGCCCGGCCCCGCACCGCAGGGGCAGGCGGGGGCACACCGCGCTGCTCGGGCGGCGGATTAGAGCGGGGAGCGTTCGGGTCTCCCTCGCAACGTCAACAGACTTTTGGCAGCCGTCGACGCCAGCAGCAGCACTAAGTTTTGTTCACGCGCTCTTGGCGTGGAAACGAGAAAAACCCGGTGCCGGGCGGCGGCAGGAGGGGGAAGGCGAATCCTCGCGGCCCCGGGAGCCGGGCGGGGGGCGGCCGTCGAGGGGGGCAGGACGGCCGTCGGGTCCGCGGCGCGGGGAGCCAGGAAGCAGGGCGGGGGGAGCGGCGCAGCGGCGCACGAGTTCCCTTCTGGCGCCTTTCCTCTTTCCACCTCCAGCCCCGCCTGGCTGCCCGCCAGTTTCCACTGCACAACCGCGGGGCGGGCGGCAGCGCTGCGGCTGGGGGGGGGGGGGGCGGCGGGGGGGGGCCCGGGCTCCGCCGGGCGCCCGGGCGGGCGCCCCCACGACGGGCGGCAATCGAGGGCGGCCCCAACGCTCGGTTCCAGGCCGCTGGAAGGATCATTGGTAGATTTGCGCAAATCCCGGCGTGGGGAGCGAGAAGCAATCGGGGACTCGTAGCCATCTCCTTCGATTAGCCCTCATCTGGAGTTTGATTTAAAGGGCAGTGCTCGGGCGGTATTTATAAATGCGGGCTGCCGTTCAGAGCTGCGCTGAGCCGCTGCGTTCCCACCTCGGGTCTCGGTCCCCTATCGCTGAGCCCCGACAGCGGGTAGCTAGCTGGCACCGGCTGCGTGCTCAAAGGGGCGGTGGGAAGGGAAGAAGGAGGCTGCGCTTTTTGCAAAATAAACAAACAAACAAAAAATAGGGAAAATATCGCCGGTTGTTTGTTGCAGCCTCCCCGCAGCATCCCCGCCAGCCACACGTTCCGGAGCCGGAGGAGGAAGCCGCAGGCTCGAGAGCCGCCGCTCGGCTCCTCGGATTAGAGCACGAGTGTGACCTTTACCCGGGACGTGTGGCATTTCATTTAAGCGCAGCGCCCGGCACAATGCGCCAGCGAGATCGCTAACCCGATTGGAAATCCACCTCGAGCCGTACGCGGCTCCTCTGCGGCTCTCGATGTGAGTGCTCCGCCGCAGCCCCCCCACCCCCCCCCCCCGCCGCACCATCACGTGTCGGACGGCGGCCGGGACTCGCCGCCGGGTAAACACGGGACTGTCCAGGGGGATGGAAGGAGGGGGGGCACCGCGCCGCGCCAGGCTCCGGCCCGGCGGAAAGACCACCCCACCCCACACACACACACACATACACGCGCGCGCGCTCGCGGTGGCCCCGGGGAGGGCGATGGGGGAGGGAGGGGCAGTCCGCCCCCCCCCGCGCCGTCTGTCACGCCTTGGCCCCGCACAGGCAGCGCCGGAGCGGCAGCAGCGCTTTTCCCTTTCCCATATGCCGCGAGGCGAATCGTCGCGCTGCTCTCGGCGCCGGTTACAGCCAAAAAGGGAGGGGAAAAAAAAAAAAAAAAATTTTCAATTAATGATAAGCCCAGGGACTGGGGAGGGGGGCGGGGAGGCGGCCAATAAGAAGAGAGAGGCAAAATGGCTGCGAGCCCTCGGGCGGCCCTGCCCGCCCCCGGCCCGCGGGGAAGGAGCCCCGGGGAAGCCCCGGCCCGCTCCGATCCGATCCGAGGGGCGGCTCAGAGCTGCGGGTCCCCGTCACCGCGGCGAGGAGCGCCCGGGGATCGCGGGGACGCCGCGTCGGCAGCACCGCACGAGTGGCACCGCGTCGGCAACCACGACGCCCCCCGGCCCCAGCGCACCCCGTGCTTCCTCGCACGCTCCGCCGCAGCGCTCCGGAGGCGGCGGGGAGGGGAAGCGCAGATCGGCGAACCCCGGCTCCCCCCTCTTCTCCTCCCCTTCCCCGGCGGCAGCGCGGCCCCCTCCGGCCGCCCACCCGCCGCGGCATCTCCCCGCCCGGCCGCCCGCGCCATTTTAGAGGCACACACACACGCGCTCGCCCACGCTCGCTCGCACACACGCACGGAGCGAGGTTTCCGCCGGAGCCAACGGCACGGCCGGGCCCGCAGCAGGGGGGGCGGGGGAGGGGAAGCGGCGCGGCGCTCGCACGGCCCCGCGGCACCGCAGGTAACAGAGGGCCGCGGGGAGGGAGGGAGCGCTGCCCCGCGCGCCCCCGCCCCATTAACCCGCCGCGCCCTCGGCGCCCCGGGAGCGCTCATTGTCGCCTTTATCCCGGGCGGCTTTGGCTTTTCAGGAGGGCGAGCGAGAGAAAAGAGAGGGAGAAAAAAAGAGAAAGAAAGCAAAAAAAAAATAATAATAAAAGAGAAAACCCCTCGAGCCAGCCCCTTCCCCCCGCCCGCCCCCATTGTTCGGCCGCGGGAGGCCGGGCGGTGGGCGAGCGCAGCCCCGGGTTGCCATTCCCGGCTGCTTCCCGCTGCCCCCTCCACCCCCCGTCTGTCACAGCAACTTCAGGGCTGGGGGGATCCTCCTCCCCCAGCCCCCAGGAATAAAGAACTCCGAGAGAGTTGGACGGAAAGCCGCGCTCCCGTCCACAGCGCTACGCTCGGTACGCGGCCCCGTTGCTCCCCCCGTCGCGGCCGTCCGCCCTCTGCTCCCCTCGGGGCCGCCCCGGCTCAGCGCTCCCAGCCCCGGCCGCCGCCGCACGCCAGGCGGGGGAGGCCCCCCCGCATCCGTCGGGGACGTTGGGAGATATTGATCACGGACGCCTTCATTTTGCATAATTGCGGCTGACAGGGCCTGTGGTTCCCTCATTTACGGAGCAACAACTTCGAGGGGCTGATGGATGGGGAGCGGCTCTCTCCGCTCTCCCCTCCCTGCCCCCCCGGCTCCACAGCCCCACCGGGCCTCCGAAACTCCTGCGGCAAATGGCCGGCACGGCGCGCCTCGACTCAGCACGGCACGGCTCAGCACAGCAAGGCTTGGCTCAGCAGAGCACGGCTGAGCACGGC